AGCTTGCACCACATAGCTTGCACCACACAGATTACACTACATAGAGCCCTCCATCTAGATTGCCTGACATATATGCACCACATATATTGCACATCGATTGCACCACATAACTTGCACCACAGGGATTGCACCACATACATTGCACTACATAACTCCACCTACATAGCTCAACATAGATTGCACCACATAAGTTCCACCAAATTGATGGTAGGACCTATATATATATTGCAAAACGTAGATGACACTACATCGATCGCACCACAGTGACTGCACCACATTGATTGCACCGCACATATTTCACCACAAAGGTTGCACCACATCTATTAATCCATTTAGGCTTGCCTAAGGGGTTCTTACTTGGATAGAGGTTGGTGCCTCGGATTCCTACGTTGCCCATTGCTCGGAGGTTCCCTGGGTTCCTCGGGCTCCCAAGGTTCGTCGCCCTGGTTGCCTCAGATTCTTACGCTGCCCTTTGCTCGGAGATTCCCCGGGTTCCTCGGGTTCCTCGGGTTCCCCGAATTCCTCGGGTTCCCCGGGCTCCCTGGGCTCCCGGGGTTCCTCGGGTGCCTCGGGTTCCTCGGGTTCCCCGCCCCCGGTGCCTCGTATTATTACTGTGCCAGTTCCAATGCCAAGCAGTGCCAAGCAAAGCCAAGCAATGCCAAGCAGTGCAAAGCAGTGCCAAGCCATCCCAAGCAATGCCAAGCAATGGCAAGCAATGCCAAGCAACGTCAAGCAATGCCAAGCAATGCCAAGCACTGCGCCCATGCAATAGGAAGCTCTCCCCTAATTGAGGACGCGCCGGGTTCATGTTCCGCATACGTTGCAGCGTATATGTATATACATACATTACCAGAAAAGAATGTTTGGGGTCCACGCTGGCTAACATTATCCCTGTACAGAAACCAGAGGGGGGGGAAAGGAAGGAAAGAAGGATGTGTAGGAGTAGGAGGAAGAAATGGTGAAGGAGGATGAAAAAAGTCCCACCAGCACTCTGGGCGTAAGTGGCACAGGGGGGGGAGCTCTTCCAATAAATACTATGTTCAGCCGGGCCTTCCCTACTGGTCTGGACCAGGGTGGTCGCCAGTCATCAGTTAGAGTGTCCAAGATGGCTCCAGATGGCTACAAGATGGCCCCATCTCACCCAAGATGGCCAAAGATCGCCCAAGATGGCCCAGAGGCCCAAGAAGATCCAATGATGCCTTCTCAAGCCACACAGAGAGCACAGGGATACGTTAGTTCTTTCATTTATGTTCGCCTTGTCCGCTTTCGATGGGCCTCTGAATCCTCGGGATGGTCCTGCGATTGCCCAAGATGGATCCGAGAGAGAGCTGTGAAGGGAGACTCGGAAGGGCCCCGAGAGCGCCCCGAGAGGACCCCGAAAGGCCCCCCAGAGCAGACCAAGAGAGCTCCAAGACATATAGTCGGGGCGTTGACCTAAGGAACCCTAAATAAGGAACGAGGCCCCTTTTTTCCTCAAGTTCAACCTCGATTTCCCATCTAAAACCTCGGGAAAACCCGAGGCAAACTTTGAAACAATCAAGGAACACCGAGCCCCTCCGCAACGAAAAGAGTTCCTTCTCCAGCGCCCCGACTGTGCTTTAAGATGAATAGTTCTGGGGGGCCATCCTGGTTTGCCGATGGCCTGCAGAGGATGGCCACGCGAGGTGGCCCCCAGCGAGCTCCAGGAAGGCCCCCAAAGGTTCACAGAGGGCCACAAAAGAGCCGACCAGCCATAACTGGGGGAGCTGTGGTCCTTACCCCCCTGGGGGAACCCATCGCATCGACGATCCCTCGAGAGGGGTGTCGAAATCGATGGGTCCCCCAGGGGGGTAAGGACCACAGCTCCCCCAGTTGTGGCTGGCCTGAAGAGGCTCCCAGGTTGCACCAAGTTGATCACTTCGCAAGATGCGTCAGCACCGAATCGGGAAATCGGATCGAAGCTAAGTGTGAGTCGGATCGGGCCACAGCGGCACGGAGCCGAAATCGGACCCGATCGGCTGCGCCAAGATGCACAACACAGCCATGCAGGCACTGGGCCGCACCGGACCGCCAAGATACCAGAAAATAGAATCGGACCAGGCCGGCCGGAATCGGCATCGAGTCGAACCGGCTGGGTCGAAGCGGACCCTGCCAAATTGTGGTCGCTTCTCGGTCGTTGACGAACCCAGCTCAGCGCAAACCTGGCTCGGCCAGTGGAAAGAAAACTGCGCTGCAGCTTTTGGGGAGGCAGTGCCTTCCCAAACCCAGGAACGAATCGATGAGTCGGATCGGCGATCGACATGAATCGGATCGGCGGAGATCGGCAGCCGTGTCGGAAAAGATCGAAGCGGCGGACATCGGCAGGCTTGTATGCGTCCAGTGAGACATCGGGACCCAGATTGGAATCCCAAGTCGAATCGAATCGGAATCGGAATCCAATGAAATCGAATCGAATCGAATCCTCCTCCTCCTCCTCCTCCTCCTCCTCCTCCTTCTCCTCCTCCTTCTCCTCCTCCTCCATTCCTTTTCCTTATAAATAACTTCTCCCTGTCGCACCCCGAG